TGTAGATGGTTGAGTCAATTGTGAATGGTTGGGTAGATGTGGGTGGTTGAGTAGATGGTAGATGGTTGGGTAGATTGTGGATGGTTGGGTAGACGGAAGGGAGAACTGGGTAGATGGTACATGGTTAGGTAGATGGATGAGTGTCTGTCTTAATGAGACTCTGGAATTCCATGGGAGTCTAAGAGGAGCCTTTCCTTGAGTCCACACATGCCGTCCTCACAGACAGCAAAATCCCACAGGTGGGGGTATAATGGGAATTTCTGCCTTCCTTTGAGCCAGGATTTCACTCTGTGGCCTCATCCCTCTCCCCATTGTCATTTTCAGAGTTTCTCTTAGGCAGGTGATGAACAGGTGAGCAGACAGACAGAGCTGGCACTCCACACCACAGCCTGAGAGGGCCTGAGCTCACATTCTGTGCTCTAGCCAGGGTGAGAGAAGTGAACCCCAAAACTGTGGATACACCTCTGCTTGGCATTCTGGGTTGTGTTCTCAAAGCAGGCAGGGGACCAGGTGTTTCTTGTCAGGAGCTGCAAATGGACTTCCTGATGGTGGTGGGGTAGGACGGTGCAAGCAGCTGGCAAGGGGTGCCCAGAAGCCCTGACGGACGTGAGCGGGAACTCCAAGATATCTGCAAACATCCCTGTTCAGGGGAGCTCCGAGGGACAAGAGCGTAGCAGACCCCTCCTAGGCCACCCTCTGTGCTCCTCAGGGTCAACTTCACATAGGAGCCACTAGAAACAGCACAGGGCAGCCCAGAAGACTGTGTGACCTGCAGGCTAGATGCCCTGGGCTCTGAGCCTCTGCTGAAACATTTGACCTCCAAGCCCTGCCTTCTCCTGCAACGGAGGCCCTTCCACGCCCTCTGCTGGTTGAAACTGGCAGTGGAGCAGACCAACCCGGGGTCCTACCATCCCTAGGGCTTCCCATCTGCTAACCTACCTCCTCCATGGCACCCAAGAGAAACTGGAGGAGGCAAGAATGATCCTTAGCCTCTGTGCCTTGCTGGGCTTGCAGGACATAAAGGCTGGAAGGTGAAAAGAGACAAAATATGAAGTGTTGAATGAAAGACGTAGCCTGTAGATGTCGGACAAAAGTCATGGAGGGATGGCGGATAGCTCAGAGGTGAAGTCTGGGGGGATGGCTCAGAGGCGGAGCCTTTCCACCTCCAGGACTGTCATCTTCCCGAATAGACTAGAACTTCTCCAATGTCCCCGGCCAGCGCTGCTTCCATGCAGCTGGCAGGTGGACGCAGCAGCAGCGGAAGCATCCTCTCCTCCCCTCACCAAGCTGCCCTCCCTCTCAGCAGGCCAGGCCCTTCCCTCTGCCCAGGCAGTCCTTCAGATGTCTTCCTTGTGGTTAATTAATGGTGCCTTGGTCTTATTCTCAGAGAGCGAGATTGGCAGAGCCTGGAGCTTACTCACATCTGCCTGCTGCTCTGATTTCCATTGTGAGCTAAGTGGGGACAGCCCTGGAAATTCTGTGGAGTCTGTCCCCAGCCCCGCCATCTCTCTGACTGACCGTGTCCTCAATGCTTCCTCTGCTTGGAACCTTCCTCGTAGACTTCAGTTTTCTGAGACACTGTGACTACTGCACCCCCCCCCACACACACACACGAGCTGTGTACCACCTCCACTGGCACCCTGCACACACTACAGGTCATAGTTTGGCTGAGTCTGTTTGCAAATTAAATATCTCCCCCGTTAGCGGATAAGTTGCAGACACTTGACTTTAATCATTGTCCCCTTTACTAGTCCCTAGCCCTGCTCCAAAGCCTGACATATGGCCAGCTCAGTAATTACTATTGAATGAGTGAACAAATGAATTAATGAGGGTGGGGAGTCAGGAAACATGTGTAATTGACTCTGCAGGGACCTCGGACAAGCCTCTTTATTATGCGTGGGCCCGTCCCCCCACCCTGAGAAGAAGAGAAGCCCAGACAGTCGACCTCCCACAGGCAAGGGGTACCCAGGGCATCCTGTCTCCTCAGCATATACAAAGCCGCTGAGGACGACTGGACTGGGCATGACAGGACCAGAGGCAGGGAGAACAGAGGCCGGCTAGGGAATGAGGTGGCACCTTCCCACTGTTCACGCACCTCCACCCAGAGATTCTGAGACATCCCCTGGCAGTAGGATTCTGTGTGACCTTTGGCAAAGCACAGTGGGCCTCTGTGAACTCAGCTGGACGGAGGGGACAGTGATGGATGGTGTCGTTATCTTTCTCCCCCACTGGCGTGTGTGACATTACCTACAAACTCAGGGACCCATGCATTTCTGTGTGCCACTGAATCCCCAGATCCCAGTTGGGGTGGAGCACAAAAGAGGGCTGTAGGAAATATGGAGGGAGGCATCCATGACGGGTGGGGGAATGGGTGAGCCCCCTTGGAACTCCTGAGAAGCAGCCAGTGTCTAGGACACCAACCTCTGGAACATGCTCTGCTTCCTGGCCCGCCCCATTCTCCATGCTGACCACACCCACCCACCACCCCTCTTTCTCTTGATACAGTTGCTCCCAAAGGACCCAAAATCGTGATGACACCCAGCAGAGCCCGGGTTGGGGACACGGTGAGGATTCTAGTCCACGGATTTCAGGTCAGCCTCTCTCTGGGTAGTTGAGTGGAGTGGTGGGTGGGTAGAGACATCCAATATGGACCAGCATTCCTGGCTTACTCTCCTATACCCACAAGCAAATGCAGTTCACATCAATCTTCTGTCTTTGCGTTTATTCTAGCCCCAACCCCTGAGAGTCCTCACCACCTAGGCTCCTATTGGATAGGCTGTTTTCAATTTCCCTATTTAGCTGAGGAGGATCTTGATCTTCTAACCCTCCTCCCGCCCCCTCGTCTGTGCTTGGATTATTGGCATGACAGTTTATCCGATGCTGGGGTTGGAACCCAGAGCTTTGTGTGTGCGAGGCAAGCATGCTACCACCTAAGCTACACCCCCAGCCTCGTTCCTGGGGTTCTAAGGTGCTACCTGAAGCCTATTGGATGAGAATCGGGGGCCTGGAAAGCCTCTGGCCTTCCTGTGTTGGCAGCGTGCTCCCCGATGACTCCACTGTTTCCTGCTCTGGCCCGCAGAATGAGGTCTTCCCAGAACCCATGTTCACGTGGACGAGAGTGGGCAGCCGCCTCCTGGATGGCAGCGCTGAGTTTGACGGGAAGGAACTGGTGCTGGAGCGGGTTCCTGCCGAGCTCAATGGCTCCATGTATCGCTGCACTGCCCAGAATCCACTGGGCTCCACCGATACACATACTCGGCTCATCGTGTTTGGTAGGGACCCTACAGGACCACCCAAGGATAGGGCCGGGCTCAAAGTTGTCCTCAAAAGACCCTTAAATTTGCCTCAGTGAGATAATTCTATTCACTGATTAAAATTGCAACAACTTTATCATCAGAGAGACTTTGGTTCACATCTCGGCTCTGCCAGGCCTCTTTTCCCCTCTGTAACATGGTCGGATATGGAGAGATTGAGGGGGAGCACCATCCCAATGCATACAATGCCACATAGTGGGTACCTGGGGAAGGTCCTACAAGCTCAGAACTCAGCGCCAACCATTCTGCTTCTCTCTGCTTCTTTCTGACAGAAAACCCAAATATCCCAAGAGGAACAGAGGACTCCCGTGGTAAGTCTCCAGCCTCAAGACTGCACCCTTAAAAGAGAGTGCTTTTCAAGGCACCCAGAAAGCATCTGTTGCTAAAGCCAACATGTCTCCCCTGATCCCTCCTTTCCTTCAGGAAGCCATCACCTCAGACAGGCAGGGTCAAGATTAAGCAAGGAAGGCACTATACTCCCAAACAGCTAATGGGATAGCAGGGGTCAAGTGTGTCCCCTCACATTGCTATCCAGACCCCAAGAAACTGTGTCTGGTGCTGACCATGGTGTGGGTCTCTGACAACTCCATGGGACACTTAAGAATATAGTCAGATGCCCCAGGCTGTTCCTTCAGCCACCCCAACCTAGAACCACTCATGGGGTGCAGACACTACCCATACACAGTGAATCTCACAGTTCTCAATGAAGCATCCCATTCCTGGTGCCTGCTGGGCCATCCTGATGGCCTCAGTCCAGCAGGCTTGTATGGGATACAGGGCACCGGACCCATGGCAGGCAGCCAGCAGAGCTGAGGTTTGATCACCCGATGCTGCCCCCTAGCATCTTTGTTGGGAACCATTTTTCAACATCGGTTGAAAATCCTCAGTTTCACACCAATAGGCCCCCTGTAACACACAGGCAGGCTGCAGCCGTGACACCGCCTCTGCCTCTCACAGGTTCTGCTTCTGGCCTCGCTGGCGTCCGGCTCACCCTGGTGCTTGCCCTGACAGTGGTCCTGGAGCTCACGTGAAGATGCCGCCTCCTCCCGACACTCCAGCGGCCTGGCATCTCTGCGATCGATTTTCATTTCTTTTCTAAACTATTTCCAGTCTTGTTCTTAGTCTTTGCCCATGTCTTGGCTTCTTCACTGGGTTTAATTAAAACAAACGGACCAATTTTCCCCACCTTGGTGTTTGGCTCTGTCTTTCCTTAGTCTAGTTGTAGCTACTGGGTACCTCCTGGCATCCATTCTTGGGACAGGCATAGAGATAGAATGACAAAGGAAATGCAAAGTTTGCACTCCTCTGAGGATGGGTAGACATGCAGCTCCTGTCTTATTCAGTCTTAAAAACAGCCAGGTGTGGGGAATGGCTGTAGAAAATGTAACCGTCAGCTGTAGCTACAATACTGCTGCCTAACAAGTCAACCCACATCTTGGTAACAGACAACAGCAGGCATGGATACTTACTTATAGATAGCAGTGGTCCAGATGTCCTCATCCAGGCTCACCAGACAGCTTAGCTTCAGGTAACAGACCTTCCTCACCCCTGCATAACCCCTGCTGCAGGCTACACTCCAGACTGGCCTCTGGTCTCCACTATGGAGTTATGAAATTCCTTGTTTGTTTATCCTGGAGCTGGAGCAAAGGGGACAGCAGCTACCTGACCTCTGATCCTCTTTCCATGTGTATCAGTCAACTTTCCATCACTGTAACAAAACAGCTGAGACAATTTGCCTATCAAAGGGAAAGGTTTCTTTGGGCTCTCAGTTCTGAAGAGCTCATGAGATCACACATCCTGGCAAGGGGTTAAGGAGGTGCAGAGGCAATCCACTGGGAGGCAGGGGACAGGCAGAGAGGAGAAGGAAGAGACCAGGTCCCACATCCCCTCTGAGAACACATTCCACTTGTTGACAACCCCACCACCTCCCAATAGGGCCATCCTAGGACCAGGCCTGTGTACACAGACCTAAGGGAGACAATGACTATCCTAATTAGAACGTGGGGGAATCATCAGAATGTGAGGAAAACCTAAGCCTCTGCCTGGCTCATTGTCTGTGGACCCTGGTTGAGCCAAAGCACATCCCATGGCCAGATGAGAGATGAGGTTGAGCCCATTCCCAGGATCACAAAGATGATGGAAGCTGGGGCATATCAGAAGCGGTAGGGTGGCATGGGTCAGGGTGGTATAAAGTGGTATGGGATGGGCATGCTGTGGTGAGCCTGAGTCTCGCACCCTAAACACCCTGAAGATCTATCCTGAGCTCACAGACAGTCCGAGGCTGTTGAGTAACCCTCTCCCACCTCTAGTGAACAGTAACACCCTTGCTCTCTCGAGCATCCCGGATGGAAGAAGATGGCTCCAAGGCCACTGCCCCAAGCAGAATCATAACTTCCAAAGATGCCCATGTCCCGCCCTCAGCACCTGAGCAGGACTTGCTGATCTGGACCGGATCTGATGTCTCTGAGCTGGATCTTCCTTTGGACCCTAAGAGCGGGGGGGTCCCTGGGGGTGAGCTGGCCCCCAGTGGCTTTGGCTAAGGTGACTCAGCTTTGTGCTTGGTGGTCTCTCAGGCTCTATCAGGGTCAGCTCTGTGAGGGTGGGGTAACAAGAGAGCTGAAGCACACAGGTCTTGGGAGACCCCAGGGAAGCTGACACACCACCATTTCTATTGTATTCAAAATAAAACTAGAGCCCCCTTTGATGGGAGCTGAGAGGTCACATGGATATAGAGTCAAGAGCGGGGTAAGAACGATTGTGCAGGTAAGAACGATACAGCAGCCCTTAGTTCTGACTTGAAGTTTATGCTAGGCTTGGATGCAGGACCATGATCCCAGCACTCAGGAGATGGGCTCTGCAGGACCAGGAGTTCAAGGCTATCCTCAGTTACATAGTAAGTTTGTGGCTAGCCTCAGCTACATGAGACCCTATCTCAGAAAAGACAATCTGCCTTTGTGTTTTACTTTCCATGTGTGTGCATGTGTGTATGTATATTTGCACATGTGCATCCATGTGTGTTCATGTGCTCTCATATGTGTGTGGACAGGCTCACACATGCCACAGTGTTCCTGTAGAGGTCAGGAAAGAACGTCAGATGTGGGTCCTTGCCTTCCACCTTGTTGAAGGCAAGACCTTTGTTCTTGTTTTTCTGCTTTGCACACCAGGCTGTCTGGCCCAGAGCCTCAGGAGATTCTCCTGTGCCCTGCGCCTGTAATCTCAGAGACTGCAGGCGTTTACTACATGGTCGGCTTTTCATGAGCTCATTGGTTTCAAACCCAGGTCCTCATGCTTATGTGGCCAACCCTTTCACCCACTGAGCCACTTCCTCAACCCAACAGTTAGCCATTTACTTACTTATTTAGATTTATTTACTTTTATGTGTACGGGTGTTCTGCATGCATGCCTGGTGCTCAAGGAAGCCAGAAGAGAGCACCGGATGCCCTGGAGCCAGAGTCACACACCCTGGTGAGCTGCCATCTGGGTGCTTGGAACTGAACCCGGGTCCTCTGCAAGAGGCTCAGCATTAGCACCTCCCCCAAATCAACTGTTGAACTTGACATTCCAGAGTCTTGGCTTTCCCTTGTGCCTTTTTGTCCTCATTTAAGCTCAAATTCTTCTGCCCACCGATTGGTGCTTGAAATACATCGGATACAAATGATTGATACAGTAAATATTTACCTTCCCCAGTCTGGCCAGTCAGTCAGCAACAGTAGTGAAATTGATGATTCTCTCAGACGCCCGTCTGTGTGCAAACATCCAAGATAGCCGAGCAGACAACCACCACACAGTACCATCAACCTCCTTCACCTACTTCCTTCTTCCTCGAAGTCCTGATTCGGCTCACATGAACCGACTGCCCCTCCCCCCCCCCCCACCCCCCCCCCCCCGCCGCCGCTGCTGTCCAGCAATTCTATGTAAGGCCCCTACTTCCAGAGGTTTCTGTTTTCCCAAGAAATTTTAATACGTAGGTTTATTCTCTCTCCTTGCCTCCTTAGAGGGAAGGCCACGTAGGCGTGAAATTGGACTTGCTTCGCCCTATTAGCAGCAGGGTTGCTGGGCTCCACTGACCCCTGAAGTGCATCAATAGCTCAGTAGTGAGCAGATGAACCGTGGGAAGTGGTGGAGGGCTGGGGAAGGGGGGCTAGCCGAGAGGCTCCAGGGCCGAGGCAGCAGGGGTTGCCATCTGCTTTGGCATTGTACAAGGACTGCAAGGCTGCTGTTTAGGGTGGAAAAGGGGACGAAAAGGCCCAGCTGCAGCTGAGACTGTGCGTTCAGTCTCCCGTGGGTGCCTTCATCCATCCCACAAACCCCAAGTCTCCCCAGCCAGGGCCTGAGCTGGACCAGAGAAGAAACCGGCCAGGTTGCGTAGGTTCTGCCATTAAGAGGCCCCACCCTTTGGAATGCTGAGCCCGCTAGAAGGGCTGCACGCCACTTTCTGTGCCATATGCTCCGCGGGAGGAGTAGAGTGAGGAGGGGACACCCACAGGGATGCTGTCCTGTGGGGGTGGCCTTGTCCTGAAGGATCAGAGGGGCAACTGAAGTCAGCTCTACCCCTCCATGAGGTGGCCCCACGTTCGCCCAGGTACCTCAGCTGTGACCCACATGGGCAGTGGGAGAAGATCTCAGATTCCTGCTCTCTGTGCCCGACTCCCCGAGGCCACCACCCCTTTGAAGCACAGAGAATTCGGCTGGACTCGTAGCTGCTGCCACACCAGGTCCCAGTGAGCTCATCCTTCCCCATTCACCAGCCACAGTTCCCTGAGGCCCCTGCTGCTCTCCTGCCCCGGGCTACTGTCACCACAGATCCCCCGTGATCTTCGGAGGATTTCAAGTGTGTCCAGCAGGTGTAGGGATGGCTGCAGGCCCACCTCCAAAGTCGCACCTGCGAAGGGTAACCAAGCTTCGTTTTCTCTTCATCTCTGAGTTGGGCTCATGAACAAGTGTCACGGGTATGTGCAGCCGCTGCAGCCACTTAGTGGGAGAGGTGCTCCCAGGCCAGCTGTCCATACTCAGCACCTGGGGTCCCCTCCCCACTGGAGCAAGCATTCGGGGACATTCATGACCTGTGTCTCTCTGTTGTCCCTTCCAGACTGGAGCCTGAAACTTAGTTTCTGGCTGTCTGTCTGCTGCAAGCCTGTGGCCGCTGTCCCTCCTCAGTCCAAGACAGCAGCCTCTGGACCCACAGGCCCACTGCAAGTCAGAGTCACCTGCTCCATCACCCCAAGGCCCCTATACATAGGCACTGCTGGCTTCTTTCTATACTACCTAGCGCTTTTGTTAGTCTTCTAAGGGTGACTGTGACCCTGGCTACAAATTCCACTCTGAGTCACCTTGTCTGTGGGAGACACGGAGCAGTGGACAAGGCTCTAAGGACCCCACAAGACAACTATATAGGACATCTCGTGATCCAGAAAAATCTGTGAGTTTCGTTAAGAGTCTATGTATACATAGCACAGAGGAAACAAAAACCAGGGTCCTTGGGATTTGGCTATGCCGTGGGAAATGACAAAGTTCAAATTTGGACATTTCCACTCAGGCAAGATGCATAGGCCGGTATCAGGAATACTTGCTTCCGGAGCCCCGACCTGCTGGTGGGACCTGAAGGGGAAGGAAAGTGGGGTGAAAGCAGGTAAGAGAGCGAGGAAAAATGAGGAACAGGCTGGGTGGGGGATGTGGGAGAGGCAAAGACGGAGAGAGGATATCAGTCATCAAGGGCTGTTGGGGCATCGTGAATCAGGCTGCCCTGGGTCAGTTACAGAGAGAGCTGGATTCTTGAACGCATGAGGAGTTGGGGAGAAAGGTGCCACCTGAGCTCCGGGGGACAGAAAGAGTACAGACCAATCAGCATTGAGGGAAGTGCCAAGAGAAGTGGAGAAAACAGGAGACAGAACTGAGACAAGGGACAGAGCTAGAGGGGCAGAGAGTGCCAGAGATGGGAGAGCGCGGACTGGATGGAAAGGAGACTTGAGCAGCAACCCCGAGCTCCTGCCCCTGGGACATCTTCCACTGTGATGGTCTGTAACTCCGAATTTTGAGCTGAAATAAACTCTCTTCCCCTTAAATTGCTTTTGTCAGCGTATTTTATCACAGTAATGCAAAAAATAAAAAATAAAAAGCAGAGACACAGGGAGATGCTGCAGAGAAAGTGAGAGAGCCGGGCCCAGGCAGGAGGGACGGAACACTCC